ATGCTGAAGAGGAAATGCCCTTGAAATGGGTGTTCCAACAAGACATCGACCCCAAACACACCAGTAAACGTGCAGCATCTTGGTTCCAGACCAACAAGATTGACGTTATGGAGTGGCCAGCCCAATCCCTGGATCTTAATCCAATAGAAAACTTGTGGGGTGACATCAAAAATGCAGTTTCTGAGGCAAAACCAAGAAATAAAGAACCACTTTGTGATTAAAAAGCAATAGATGAGAAAACCTTAGCTTCATTTTCAAAGGCGTCGACAGTTACATAGTTAGTCTGGCTGAAATAAGACAAAAGTTTATCCAGTTCAACCATTAAAAAAAAAAAGTTATAATCCTATACCCACAGTTGATCCAGAGGAAGGCAGAAAAAACTCCGCAAAGCATGATCCAATTTGCTCCTGCTGGGGAATAAAATTCCTTCCTGATCCCCCGAGAGGCAATTAGATATTCCCTGGATCAACTTTACCTATAAATGTTAGTATCCAGTTATATTCTGTGTATCTAAGAATCCAGGCATTTTTTGAAAATAGTTGTCTTTCAAAATTCAGACTGTTGGCAACAGGGCGATTGCACGACTGCTGTACCTGATAATGTATCTAAACTCAAAAATACAATTGTTGTAGTGCATTTTTCAAGTCTTTTATTCTATTTCAGCCAGTCATAATGCCAGTAACATGTCCTTTGCAGAGTTGACAATGCTCACACTGTACGGTTTCTGAAGTTGTAGCATTGTCACTCTAGGCTGCTCTATAGGGTGACACTGCTACTCCTCTACTGTAGGGTGACACTGCTCCTCTACTGTAGGGTGACATTGTTCTACTCCTCTATGAACACCTTATCTCCATTACAAAGGGGGAGGTGTTTCTTAGTTCAGATTACTAAGGCTGATTAAGCTGTCTGCTAATGCACAAGAAGTGATAAGAACACTGGATTCTTAAGAAGATCAATAATAGTATTTTGATGTACTTGCTGCAAAACATTGTGCAGTCACTATATTGAAGGACTGGAAATCTGCAGTATTTTACAACTTTACCTTTTGAATTTACGGGCTTCAGTTTCACAGAAAGTTATAGGACAGAACAAATTGTAGAATGAGTTCTGCCTGATTGGATCCAAGGTCTCCCTTGTCTCTGTGGTCAAAGTAGGCTCTCATAGCAAACTTTTAAAAAGCAGGCATAGAATTGTGCGTGTATGTAAGGAAAAAAATTATGTGTATATATGTACACTTTTGCCAAAACTGAATTTTTGTATGTTGTCATTAGCACAGTAACTGTGTCAATATATATTTGTGTCCTGGATTCTCTTTATACATTAGGTCAGTAAAGTAAAAGCAGATGCCCGGGTGGAGTTGTTGCGCCAGGTCGGAGTGGATGTGGACACATGGCTATCTGGTGCTATGACACAGGCTAATGAAGAGCTTGAGCAAGAGCGACGTCTGAGCGAAGCCCGGATGTCAAATGGAGAGATGTCACCCACTGTAAGTTCTGTATATTGCACTGTAGGCATTGTCATCCTAAACTATGCTAACTTGCCTAAAAACTACGAATACCGTTCTCAAATATGTATCTAAATGGGAATCTAAGACCTATGACATAAGGTGGCCATATGAATGCCACACTTTGCAATAAGTCCAGTCACTTCTTTCAGCACTTGATAATCTTGCAGATGTTTGGGTTCCATTGCCAATGGGAACTAGCACAGGGCATTATTTTTTTTCACTTATCTTTTTCTGGAACTTGAATTACCCCAACAAAATGATCATTTGCCATTTATCACATCCCCTCTACAGGCTTATAAAGATGTCAGTATTGCTGTGCATCTTTTTGATTTAATCAATCATTTTAGGCTAAAGGGTGTAAATGGAATTCATCAAGGAGTCATTGACAGTCAGCAATGTTCAGAAAAAAATGTCTCCACCAACAGCCACAACTTTATCTTCGATATGCTGCCCTGTTCATTTTTTACATTCTGAATGAACTAGAGAAAACAATTATATTGTCACATTAAATTTATCTCCTGTTTTCTTGCAGCAAATGCTCAATTGCCACTAATACTTATAGGAAAGCACAGAATATTACCCTGTAAAAAATTTTTTTTTTTTAGTATTTTTGCAATGCCACAAGCTGCCACTAGGTGTCTCATTTGTTTGTTATATTTCTTTATCGACTTCTGAGTTCATATGGGATATTTCCTCAACGGTTTCATGGTTGTCTTGGCATCTGGCAATGTAAACATTTAGGTCTGATCCTATAAAATTATATTTTTAGAGCTGGTTAAAGAAAGTGTTGGTAAAAAATGTAATTATAATTGGTACGTTCTTCTTAGCAACCACACAGGAAAAGTAACTTTCTTTTTTTTTTTTTTTACAACAAATACCATTTATAAATGGGATTCTGAGTATAAATATAACATTTACTGTCAGTTATGCATAATCCCTATATAGTGCCAAATCCCAAATATTCACTATGCTTAATATGGTTCTAAAAAGTTTTTTACTTTAATTCTTTCTCTTCATTAAAGTGGTTGTAAAGGCTCAAGGTTGTTTACCTTCTGCATTCTATGCATGAAGGTAAAAAACCTTCTTTGTGAAGCATCCTCCCCAGCCCCCCCAATACGCACCTAAGCCCCCTCTCAATCCAGTGATGTGCACTGGAGTCTTGGCAATCCTGGGACTCCCTCTTCTCATTGGCTGAGACAGAAGAGGGAGCCATTGGCTGTGATTGACAGCATAGAGGGAGGGGATGGGGCAGAGTCACAGCTCTATGTGTGAATGGAGACATGGAGCAGCGGGTGCCCCCATAGCAAGCTGCTTGTTGTGGGGGCACCCGCCAGGAGGGAGTGGCCAGGAGAGCCTGCAGGGAACCCAAGAAGAGGAGGATCCAGGCTGCTGTGTGCAAAACCACTGCACACAGGTAAGTATAGACATGTTTGTTATTTAGAAAAAAAAAGCTTTTAGAATTATTTTTAAGGATAAAAAACAAACAAAAAAAAAACCCTGTGTGCTTGTTGAGCTTGATCTTGATCCAGCACTGTGCCTGAGCAGTGGCACTCTCCTCAGATTCAGACCATAGTGGGAGCCATATGGGTATTTGATGCTATTCAAGGAACAACGGTGAAATCTGCTCCCGGGAAGGTAGGAGCGTGGGGGTGGCTCAGAGCTTTATTGGGTATTGCAAGGAGTACATTACATCTGGTGAGTGCTGGTCGCCTAGATTGCGCACGAGTAGCACGAATGAGAATTCCATTCGAGGACAGGTCTTGGCCTTGCCCATTCTTTCAAAGACCTCTTGCTTCGCTTTTCCTTTTGTAAAGACCTTTCTTCAAGGCGTATCTCATATTAAACCCCCCTTTTTGGTTGCTCTAACATCGGTCAGACATGTTTGAGTTGGCAGCCCTCTTTTGTAAAGAACTGTTCGGTTGTGAAACTGGCGGCCCTCCAGCGGTTGTGAAACTGGCGGCCCTCCAGCGGTTGTGAAACTGGCGGCCCTCCAGCGGTTGTGAAACTGGCGGCCCTCCAGCGGTTGTGAAACTGGCGGCCCTCCAGCGGTTGTGAAAAACTGGCGGCCCTCCAGCGGTTGTGAAACTGGCGGCCCTCCAGCGGTTGTGAAACTGGCGGCCCTCCAGCGGTTGTGAAACTGGCGGCCCTCCAGCGGTTGTGAAACTGGCGGCCCTCCAGCGGTTGTGAAACTGGCGGCCCTCCAGCGGTTGTGAAACTGGCGGCCCTCCAGCGGTTGTGAAACTGGCGGCCCTCCAGCGGTTGTGAAACTGGCGGCCCTCCAGCGGTTGTGAAACTGGCGGCCCTCCAGCGGTTGTGAAACTGGCGGCCCTCCAGCGGTTGTGAAACTGGCGGCCCTCCAGCGGTTGTGAAAACTGTGCTGGCCCTCCAGCGGTTGTGAAACTGGCGGCCCTCCAGCGGTTGTGAAACTGGCGGCTGGCGGCCTCCAGCGGTTGTGAAACTGGCGGCCCCCTCCAGCGGTTGTGAAACTGGCGGCCCTCCAGCGGTTGTGAAACTGGCGGCCCTCCAGCGGTTGTGAAACTGGCGGCCCTCCAGCGGTTGTGAAACTGGCGGCCCTCCAGCGGTTGTGAAACTGGCGGCCCTCCAGCGGTTGTGAAACTGGCGGCCCTCCAGCGGTTGTGAAACTGGCGGCCCTCCAGCGGTTGTGAAACTGGCGGCCCTCCAGCGGTTGTGAAACTGGCGGCCCTCCAGCGGTTGTGAAACTGGCGGCCCTCCAGCGGTTGTGAAACTGGCGGCCCTCCAGCGGTTGTGAAACTGGCGGCCCTCCAGCGGTTGTGAAACTGGCGGCCCTCCAGCGGTTGTGAAACTGGCGGCCCTCCAGCGGTTGTGAAACTGGCGGCCCTCCAGCGGTTGTGAAACTGGCGGCCCTCCCAGCGGTTGTGAAACTGGCGGCCCTCCAGCGGTTGTGAAACTGGCGGCCCTCCAGCGGGTTGTGAAACTGGCGGCCCTGTGAAACTGGCGGCCCCCTCCAGCGGTTGTGAAACTGGCGGCCCTCCAGCGGTTGTGAAAAACTGGCGGCCCTCCAGCGGTTGTGAAACTGGCGGCCCTCCAGCGGTTGTGAAACTGGCGGCCCTCCAGCGGTTGTGAAACTGGCGGCCCTCCAGCGGTTGTGAAACTGGCGGCCCTCCAGCGGTTGTGAAACTGGCGGCCCTCCAGCGGTTGTGAAACTGGCGGCCCTCCAGCGGTTGTGAAACTGGCGGCCCTCCAGCGGTTGTGAAACTGGCGGCCCTCCAGCGGTTGTGAAACTGGCGGCCCTCCAGCGGTTGTGAAACTGGCGGCCCTCCAGCGGTTGTGAAACTGGCGGCCCTCCAGCGGTTGTGAAAACTGGCGGCCCTCCAGCGGTTGTGAAACTGGCGGCCCTCCAGCGGTTGTGAAACTGGCGGCCCTCCAGCGGTTGTGAAACTGGCGGCCCTCCAGCGGTTGTGAAACTGGCGGCCCTCCAGCGGTTGTGAAACTGGCGGCCCTCCAGCGGTTGTGAAACTGGCGGCCCTCCAGCGGTTGTGAAACTGGCGGCCCTCCAGCGGTTGTGAAACTGGCGGCCCTCCAGCGGTTGTGAAACTGGCGGCCCTCCAGCGGTTGTGAAACTGGCGGCCCTCCAGCGGTTGTGAAACTGGCGGCCCTCCAGCGGTTGTGAAACTGGCGGCCCTCCAGCGGTTGTGAAACTGGCGGCCCTCCAGCGGTTGTGAAACTGGCGGCCCTCCAGCGGTTGTGAAACTGGCGGCCCTCCAGCGGTTGTGAAACTGGCGGCCCTCCAGCGGTTGTGAAACTGGCGGCCCTCCAGCGGTTGTGAAACTGGCGGCCCTCCAGCGGTTGTGAAACTGGCGGCCCTCCAGCGGTTGTGAAACTGGCGGCCCTCCAGCGGTTGTGAAACTGGCGGCCCTCCAGCGGTTGTGAAACTGGCGGCCCTCCAGCGGTTGTGAAACTGGCGGCCCTCCAGCGGTTGTGAAAACTGGCGGCCCTCCAGCGGTTTGTGAAACTGGCGGCCCTCCAGCGGTTGTGAAACTGGCGGCCCTCCAGCGGTTGTGAAACTGGCGGCCCTCCAGCGGTTGTGAAACTGGCGGCCCTCCAGCGGTTGTGAAACTACAAGTCCCATCATGCCACTACCTTTTTGGAAGTCATGCTTGTAACTGTCGATCTTGCAATGTCTCATGGGACTTGTAGTTTGGCAACAGCCAGAGGGCCGCCAGTTTGACACCCGTGCCCTAGACCATCTTTTCTCCCTGAGGTGGTATGTCTTCCACCCTAAAGGGGGCTTAGTCTTACCATTCTTATGCCCTGCTCCAAATCATCCAAAGGAAATCTTTTGTTTGTTCCAACATGAAGTAGGGATAAAAGCACATACCGAGCTCAAAAGCTACCACGTCATGAGAAATTGGGCAATATGAAGCAGATGGGAGCAACACTGCTAGATGCTGATGTATCAAGTTTTGGGCTTGTGCATCTCCTAACACTGTTATTCCTACTTCATGTGAGTGGCTTTTTTTTTTTTTTTTTTTTTTTTTTTACTAATTTAATCTGCTGTACTTAGAAGTTCCCTCTTGTGTCTTTTACATTACTACAGATATTCCCTATATCTGCTGAGGAGCTGCAATAAGTCCTTTGAAACCGGCTGCTATACCTCATTTGGCATTGTGAACTATTCGGCTAGGACTTCACTACTCTAGAATCTACTGGCTTGTTTCTTTGTGCTATAATGGATTTTTATCTACTATCATTTAACATGTGATAAACAAGGCTCACATAGGACAGTTCAGTAATTGGGGGTGGGGGCGAAGTTGTCTCAAAGTCAGGCAGGAGAAGTTCACCAGGAGGTTCCCAGAAACCCGAGTATTAAAGGTAGGTAACTGGTAAGGACCTCAATATGTCACACTGTGGTGGTATTTCTGTTTTGGGCCCATTGATCATTTTGACATATTCATTTTAAATGATTTTGACTTTAGGGCAGGAATTGAATTTGCTCCTTTCTGTAAGGAAAACTGACTACTTTGGAGATCGAGCTTCAACTGGTCTGGCCAGTACCAATCTTCTAGCATTAGGGTGTCTACTCTCTGGAGGAAAGTGGAACAGACAGCATTGCAGTGTTGGGGAAGGGTAATAGTACAGCTGTACTAGCAGATTTAAATACACAAACAGCTTGAAGTCAGACTCCAGCTCACACTTTAAACAGTCACACCTTTTTTTTTTTCTTTTTTTTTTTTTAAATCTTTTGGGTTTTGCATAAAACTAATCAGGTCAGAGGGTTGAGACAAACCATTCAATACAAACTGCCACATTTGCAGGACAGTATGTTCTGTTGAAAAACTGACTTACTGGCAGGATCAATCACAAAGTGAAAAGAGCCTAAAAAGAAACCCAACGCAGCCACCATATCTAAGAATTGGTAATCCACAATATATATTTTTTTGCTTTTGGGTTTAATACCACCTTATTACTGTCATCAAAAGCCCATCTTGTATTACTTCTGCATACCATATGTGTTAAAAAATATATAATTATATATAATTCGGGGGGGGGGGGGGGGGCTTGGTGCTTGAAGCGGACGGCTGCACAATGACCGAGCTCCAGGACCCACACTGCTCCACAGCCTGCAGATTGGTCAGAAGCCGCCAGGTAATGGGTGAACTCTGTAAGCCAGCTCCACACACCCGCTCACAGAGCACTTCTGCGGACTCTGCTGCCTGCCATATCCCGGTGATCTTCAGAGCAGACACCTAGACGCAGCACCTCATTGAGAGAGATGGTGGCGGCCCACCATGAGAAGGACAGCACTGAAAACTACGCAAGCACCCGAGGAAGGAGTAAGACAGATCATGCAGATCATCCCTTTTACTCTTTCTGATATGACTGCTATAGCTGCAGATCTCACTGCAGTTGTCACTGATTTAAAAAGCCGATCTCCTTGTACTTTCTGATGTACTTTCTGATCAACTAGCTGCAACAGACTGGGGAAACAAAGAGCTATTGCCAGATTAGAGGAAATATCTGTAACTCACTCTCAACATCTTATTACTATCAACAGACACTTGGAAGACCTAGATAAAAGGGGAAGAAGGGGATCCCTGAATCTGTGATTCCTGACCAAATCAAACCAGCCTTACAAAAGGTTTTTAGTGGGGTACTTGAAAGGGACCTTGACATCTATTGAATTCGATCGAGCGCACAGATCTCTATGCCCTAGAATTGCAGAGAATGCGCCACCCAGATATATCATATGCTGTCTCTCCAGCTTCCAGCTGAAAGAGGACATTCTCTCTAAGGCCAAACAAAGCAATATCATGTTAATGAGAACACCATTAAGCTCTTTCTTGATCTGTCTCCGATCACCTTAAACAATCTGCCCACTGTTGGAAGTTATGGGAGCTAAAGGAATCAATTATAGATTGAAATTCCCATTTGCACTACAGGCTACAACAAGCTGCAAACACCATCTCCTCAGGTCACCGGAGAAATTAAGTGATTTTTGCTCTGCTCTGAAAATCGCATACACCAAGGTAACCGCATGATATATGAGGAGTTTAAACTCCCTGCGTATGCTTCCAACTCGTAACACACCGAATAAAACACCCTATAAGAAAGGAAGAGCTGACAAATCATCCTTATCTGGATCTACTCTCTCTTCACTGAGATCACAGCTGCCTAAAGTTAGAGAAGACACCTGACTCTAAGCCCTGGACAGGATCAATTAATTGTTACTGCCCTTCTCTCTTTTCTCACTCAGGGCCTTCTCAGTTGTTGTAAACACCCGTACCTACAGAACAATACAGCGCTACCATAATACTGTTTAATTGTCTGTTTTTAAATTTATGACATTACAATTATTTACTATACACCTCTAATGCACTTCATGGTTGGACCCAAATTTTTTTTTTTTATATTCAGACCTTCATAAATAGGGTGGTTGTAGTTCAATAAATCAATGTTAATCATCCATTTTTGATTCCAGTGGAATATCTTTACACCTAGAAAGACACATATTTTCTACCCTGGCATCCAACTGAGACCTTAGACTTGCCTAGATACTGAGCTGCATATTTTACTGCAACCGCTACGATGGAAGTTTATCCCAGGTCAAACATGATAGCATATATACAGTACCTATTACATTTTCATTTATTTATATGGAGAGAGAGAGATATCTATTATTTTTGCAGTATGTATTTATACTAGTCCTGTTTTTAGGGTGCTGTTATCTCTTTTTTTTTAATATGCCACCATGAGACCTTAAGCTGATGTCTTCTCTATTGTGTTATTGAATACTGAGGATATAATACTACTTTAACGGGTTTTGGTTACTACCAGATGACTACAATGTCCATCCTTAACCAAAATAGAACACGCGACCCATCTTTAAATACAAATTCATATTACAGGTGTAGAACACTTCAAATGGCTCGCCTATGTTCTGGCAACTAGCTTTTATACTACAGACAAGTGAATATAATCCTCATTGTCGATTTATACGTAGTAGTTAAGATTAAGAGTATATAAAAGTTTGCACTACCTATTATATTTATAGAATTTTATGTTGCCTTTAATGGACCGAATAAGTGCCAAAAAAAAATTTAACTAAGTATTGGCTGTGGAGTGGTGGAGATCTGTTTTTTATGTTTATGAACACTTTTGCAGTGAACTGACATATCCAAATTATTTCAGTGTGCGGTTGGTTCAAATAGGATTTGAGGCACTCCCATCTTCCCCACAAATAACTTGTATCACCACTTATTATATCAGAACCCCAAATCAATATTAATCTACAGTTTGCCTACCTTTTTAGGATACTTTCTCTGTTTGTGAATAAGATTATCAAAGTTATTGTTACACACAACCTTCTCATTTTCTCATCTTTTAGGAGTTTTTTTTTTTTTTTTCTTCTCTAGCTATTATCTAGTATTACAATGGTATATACTGTACATCATTGGGAAATGGCAGCACAGTGGCTAATGGGTTAGCACTTCAGCCTGGCAGTACTTGGGTTGTTTGTAGGCAGTTTCACACCTTCGAGATTACGTTTCTTAGGTTTGTAATACTGTTCTTTGTATTTTTATCCTGATAGGCTGCCCAGCCAGATGAACTGTCCATCACACAAGGTGAGGTGCTGGAGGTCATTGAAGATGGAGATGTTGAAGAATGGGTGAAGGTCAGTTTGAAAATGTTTCCATTTCATTATTCTTCCCTATTACCTCTATGAGAATTTGTCACTCTTATCTCGTGTTTTTCCTTGGTTCTGAATTTCCTATATGAAGCGGTAGCCAGCAATGAAAGTTGTAAATGATTACTACATCATAGGAGTTTGACAGATAAAGGATAGTAGGTATCCCTAAAATACAAAAGTAATTTTTATTTGTTTTATCTATGCAGACTTTGCTTCTGCCGCTGTTTTTTTAAAACCATTCACTGTTGGATCACAAACAAGTGATAATTGCAAAAATAGGTGAACATTGCACATGGTCTTGCAGTGTAGCAGTTCATAACCATCCTGACTCTCGTCATTTTGTTTCAAAACCATCAATGCAATTTACAGTGTAGCAAGATATGTACTAATTTAGTCATGTCTCACGTAATAATTACCATTGCCAGTATTTCTTGTTCAAGGGGGAGTCTTCACTGGCTGGTCCTCTACTGCAGTAGAGACTCTGACCTCCTTTCCTGCTACTGCAAATCAAGTGTAACTGTTGGAGCCCTTACATTTTTCAGGTTTGCATAAGAATTACTACAACTTATGGTACATTGGTGTGATTAACTTTGTACATATAATCACATATTTTCCAATGCTCTTTTGAACAAACTGTAGGCAAGCAGAGAATAACCCTTGTTACGTGTGTGTCTATTTTGAAAACACCCAGTTAACTGTTTGGCTGCGCCTTAGCTTTTACTGGTTTTCTATTCATTTTGTGAGGGTTCTCTTTAGAATCCTTCAATTTTAGGTCCATTCCCACTGTAGATCTGGATGTGTCTTGCTTAAATTGGCCGTACAATAGACTATAATTTGAAGATTTTCATTTTTAGAACATTTGATTTTTTTTTTTTTTAATGGCTAGTGGGGTCTAATCAACGATTGTTCAACTATAGTGACAAGAAATGTGAATAATTCAACAAAAACTTTTCATGGTGTGTGTGTGTATACAGTCAGGTCCATAAATATTGGGACATCGACACAATTCTAACATTTTTGGCTCTATACACCACCACAATGGATTCAAAATGAAACAAACAAGATGTGCTTTAACTGCAGACTGTCAGCTTTAATTTGAGGGTATTTACATCCAAATCAGGTGAACGGTGTAGGAATTCCAACAATTTGCATATGTGCCTCCCACTTCTTAAGGGACCAAAAGTAATGGGACAGAATAATAATCATAAATCAAACTTTCACTTTTTAATACTTGGTTGCAAATCCTTTGCAGTCAATTACAGCCTGAAGTCTGGAACGCATAGACATCACCAGACGCTGGGTTTCATCCCTGGTGATGCTCTGCCAGGCCTCTACTGCAACTGTCTTCAGTTCCTGCTTGTTCTTTGGGCATTTTCCCTTCAGTTTTGTCTTCAGCAAGTGAAATGCATGCTCAATCGGATTCAGGTCAGGTGATTGACTTGGCCATTGCATAACATTCTACTTCTTTCCCTTAAAAAACTCTTTGGTTGCTTTTGCAGTATGCTTTGGGTCATTGTCCATCTGCACTGTGAAGCGGTGTCCAATGAGTTCTGAAGCATTTGGCTGAATATGAGCAGATAATATTGCCCAAAACACTTCAGAATTCATCCTGCTGCTTTTGTCAGCAGTCACATCATCAATAAATACAAGAGAACCAGTTCCATTGGCAGCCATACATGCCTACGCCATGACACTACCACCACCATGCTTCACTGATGAGGTGGTATGCTTAGGATCATGAGCAGTTCCTTTCCTTCTCCATACTCTTCTCTTCCCATCACTCTGGTACAAGTTGATCTTGGTCTCATCTATCCATAGGATGTTGTTCCAGAACTGTGAAGGCTTTTTTCGATATCGTTTGGCAAACTCTAATCTGGCCTTCCTGTTTTTGAGGCTCACCAATGGTTTACATCTTGTGGTGAACCCTCTGTATTCACTCTGGTGAAGTCTTCTCTTGATTGACTTTGACACACATACACCTACCTCCTGGAGAGTGTTCTTGATCTGACCAACTGTTGTGAAGGGTGTTTTCTTCACCAGGGAAAGAATTCTTCGGTCATCCACCACATTTGTTTTCCGTGGTCTTCCGGGTCTTTTGGTGTTGCTGAGCTCACCGGTGCGTTCCTTTTTTTAAGAATGTTCCAAACAGTTGTTTTGGCCACGCCTAATATTTTTACTATCTCTCTGAAGGGTTTTGTTTTGTTTTTTCAGCCTAATGATGGCTTGCTTCACTGAGAGTGACAGCTCTTTGGATCTCATCTTGAGAGTTGACAGCAACAGATTCCAAATGCAAATAGCACACTTGAAATGAACTCTGGACCTTTTATCTGCTCATTGTAATTGGGAGAATGAGGGAATAACACACACCTGGCCATGGAACAGCTGAGAAGCCAATTGTCCCATTACTTCTGGTCCCTTAAGTGGGAGGCACATATGCAAACTGTTGTAATTCCTACACCGTTCACCTGATTTGGATGTAAATACCCTCAAATTAAAGCTGACAGTCTGCAGTTAAAGCACATCTTCTTCGTTTCATTTCAAATCCATTGTGCTGGTGTATAGAGCCAGAAATGGTAGAATTGTGTCGATGTCCCAATATTTATGGACCTGACTGTAGCTCTAGGAGTCATTCTGCACATGCTCAGTTTAGTGTGTATTGCCAGAGGTTTTTTTCTTTGGGTGCATGTGATCAGCACAGGGTCAGTCAGCACTGTCCAGACAGGGTCAGGGGTTATGTAGCCTCATTGGACAGTCGGAGAAGAATGAAAACTCCTCCTACATGCTTTAACCAGTGCTCAACTGGACACGGATTAGAAGTTATTTAGCAGTTTATAGTTACTAAAGTTGCATTTCTATGTTGTGTGTACTGTGGAAGACCAGATATAGTGAATGCAGGGTCCAGGGCTTGGTAACACTTTAAAGTGTTACTAAACCCACAACTGTAAAATCAGTCTGTATATGCAGTAAAGCATACTTGTTATACTCACTGTGGAACCTAAGGGGTTAATCCTCTGCATTGTGTAAAAAGGCTGTTTGATCCTTTCTTCTCTGCCCCTCCTCCTTGTTGAAATGTCCACCTGATACAGACTGAATCCATAGTCCTATGCACACGCTTAGTTTGGTGTGTATTGCTAGAGGTTTTTTTTTTTTTTCCTTGGGAGGGTGCATGTGATCAGCAAAAGGCCAATCAGCACTGTCCAGACAGAGGTCAGGGGTTTCACATCCTCCTAGAGCAGAAAGAAAATTCCTCCTACAAGCTTTAACCAGTGCTCTGCTGAAGTCACAAGACTGCTCTAACTGCTGATGAGAAAAGGTATTTAGCAGTTAATATTTACTAAAATAATTGTGTTTCCATGTACTGTGGGAGACCAGGTATAGTGAATGCAGGGTCCTGGGTTTAGTAACACTTTTTAAGAATTAAAAATTGACTACTGCTCACGAACAGCTGAAACAGAGACCTCAAATGAGATTAATTGGACTGCTCAGTCACTGCCTATGCCTGTGAGTGCAACCATTCCATGTTGTGTAAAGTTTAAAAAAAAAAAGGCTGAATTGGTTGCTTCGGTTTCAGTAATATCCTTGTCTTAATGGTTATGCTCTCTGAACAGTAATTGAGTGTTTTATAGGCTTTACAGCCACAGTTTTTAAGCTGTGAAGAAAACAAAGTACAAATAAAATGTCGTCTTCTATGCTCTGAGATGCGCAGGTAACAATATGTACTATTCTCTTTATGCTACAGGCCAGAAACAAGAGTGGACAGGTTGGCTATGTACCAGAAAAATACATTAACTTCATTAAACAGAGTGCTGCACATTCCATGGACACTGGTCATGACAGGGGACTATGTACAGAAAAATCATTCTCTGCAATATCCAAGCTGGAATGGGCTGATGCAGGAGGTACATTACAGTTCATATTCTTGTCTGATAGAAAAAAAAAATCTAAAGGCGAATTTTAGGATTATAATTGCAAGTAGTCTCTCATCTAAAGGTATAGCTACAGGCCATTTATTTTGAAACTGTCACCATTAGAAGTATTTGTTCTGAGACTTTCAAATGTTTATAGCAAAATGGCATGTAGGATGTTGTCTGGAATGGGAAATGGCTGCTGTTGTCACAGGATTCAGGATATTGAAAAATGACTAAAAATGACAGGCCAAGAGCTATCTGTATTTAATTTTGCTCTGAATTTTGTTTTACTTGGATGTGCGTTTAATGCTTATGTTGACCCTTGAGAGTGCCTGTGGACAACAATGTTTCTTTGTAGCTATATTTATGTAGATTGGTAGCAGTGTCTGTGATGTGATTATGGGCAGACAGAATTTCTTTAAAAGCATTGTATGTGCATGGGGTATGAGTTTCTTACCCACTGCTATAGTGGTGCATTGAAGCACCTATTAAAGTGTTACTAAACCCACAACAGTAAAATCAGTCTGTATATGCAGTAAAGCATGCTTGTTATACTCACTGTGGAACCTAAGGGGTTAATCCTCTGCATTGTGTAAAAAGGCTGTTTTGATCCTAACTTCTCTGCTCCTCCTCTTGTTCAGATGTCCATGCTGATAAGACAGCCTGAACCTGTAGCCCTTCTGCATATGCTCCGTTTATGTATTATGAGAGGCTTTTTTTTTTTTTTCTTGGGAGAGTGCATGTGATCAGCACAGGGCCAATCAGCACTGTCCAGACAGAGGTCAGGGGTTTTGCATCCTCCTAGAGCAGAAAGAGAAAAATCCTACAAGCTTTAACCAGTGCTCAGCAAGACTGCTCTACCTGCTGAGAAAAGATATATAGCTATGTGTATATATATATATATAGCTATGTGTGTATATGTGTGTGTGTGTGTGTGTGTGTGTATGTATGTATGTGTATATATATATGCTATTAGAAGGATTTTGAGCTTTATTCACTTTTTTCAACACACTGCTATTTTTAACACAACTGTATATATATACAATTGTGTTCAAAATAATAGCAGTGTGTTGAAAAAAGTGAATAAAGCTCAAAATCCTTCTACTAGCTTTTATTTCCATACACACAAATGCATTGGGAACACTACACATTCTATTCCAAATCCAAACATGAAGAAAAATATAAAATTTGTGTTGTTCCTCTAAAACAAATGGAAGAAAAGTGAATATTAGACTGTTCAAAAAAAATAGCAGCAGTGTTTGTATTCTTCTTTACAAACTCAAACATTCATTATATAAACTGAAAAATGTTTGAAGATTTTGCTTTCCTTTGAATCACTTAATGAATATTTAGTTGTATAAGCACTGTTTCTGAGAACTGCTGTACATCTGTGTTGCATGGAGTCAACCAACTTCTGGCACCTGTGAACAGGTATTCCAGCCCAGGATGATTGGACTACATTCCACAGTTCTTCTCTATTTCTTGGTTTTGCCTCAACTGCATTTTTGATGTCACCCCACAAGTTTTCTATTGGATTAAGATCCGGGGATTGGGCTGGCCACTCCATAACGTCAATCTTGTTGGTCTGGAACCAAGATGTTGCACGTTTACTTGTGTTTGGGGTCATTGTCTTGTTGGAAACACCCATTTCAAGGGCATTTCCTCTTCAGCATAAGGCAGCATGACCTCTTCAAGTATTCTGATGTATTCAAACTGATCCATGATCCCGGTATGCGATAAATAGGCCCAACACTGTAGTATGAGAAACATCCCCATATCATGATGCTTGCACAACCATGCTTTACTGTCTTCACAGTGTACTGTGGCTTGAATTCAGTGTTTGGGGGTCGTCTGACAAACTGTCTCCGGCCACTAGACCCAAAAAGAACAATCTTACTTTCATCAGTCGACAAAATGTTGCGCCATTTCTCTTTAGGCCAGTCAATGTGCTCTTTGGCAAATTGTAACCTCTTCAGCACGTCTTTTTTTCAACAGTGGTACTTTGCGGGGGCTTCTTGCAGATAGCTTGGCTTCACATAGGCGTCTTCTAATTGTAACAGTACTCATTATTGGCTGAGTCCTTGCCATTTTGGCTATTCTATCCATTCGAATGGTAGTGTTTCGCTTTTCTTCCACGTGTTTCAGGTTTTGGTTGCCATTTTAAAGCATTTGCGATCATTTTAGCTGAGCAGCCTATCATTTTCTGCACTTCTTTGTTTTCCCCTCTCCAATCAACTTTTTAATCAAGGTACGCTGTTCTTCTAAACAATGTTTGGAATGACCCATTTTCCTCAATTTCAGAGAGAAATGCACTGTAACCAGCATGTACAACATTTGCTGTGTTCCTTCCTTAAATAAGGGCAATAATTGCCACCTGTTTTTCATAGAATGAATGACCTCACTAATAGAACTCCACACTGCTATTATTTTGAACATGGTATATACTTTATCAATAAAACTTACTCAATCTTTCTCAGATAAGTAATATCTATATATATCATTCTTATAATAAACTAAATATATTTTCTAACACACACTCTATTTACATATTCAAACTATAATTTCACATTACACACACACACTTATCATTCACTTCTTCATACTACACATCATTCTAATACATTCAAATAAAACTTAAATCAATAAACATTCTTTAAAACTATGCCCCTTTCAATTGGTGATTCAATTACACAGAATCAGCAGCATGCATGTCATGACTGTTGGGTCTGTTGGATTTCTATTACTCTACTACACCTGTTAGTAAATTATTTGCCATGTAGAAATATATTTTCTACCAAAAACAGTGATTGATCAGGTTCGTGATGTCTGACTGCTATCATTTTGAACACAACTGTGTGTGTGTGTGTATGTATGTGTATGTATCTGTGTGTATATGTATGTGTGTGTGTGTATGTATCTGTGTGTATATATGTGTGTATATGTATGTGTGTGTATATGTATGTGTGTGTGTGTGTGTATGTGTATATATATATATATATATATATATATATATATATATATATATATATATATATATATATATATATATATAAATAATTTTACTAAAATAATTGCATTTCCATGTACTGTGGGAGACCAGATATAGTGGATGCAGGGTCCTGGATTTAGTAACACATTAAAATTGTACAGTTTACTACAACTTACAGCAACAAAATTCTGAATCTGGTTTCATGTAATAACAGCAATTGTTCTCAACTGACCCATTAGCAGTGAATATACAATTTGCTCCGACTATTCATTTTCCTGTGGCTGAAGAGTGGTGCTCTGGCAAGTGTTCCCACACTTAAGCAAAGTAATCCATAATAGAATTAAGCTGGCACTCGGTGCAATCCATAAATCCCATCTTTATTGTTCTCATAGGCTGAGGAAGGCTGCTATAGCCGAAACATGTTGGCGTACTAGTAATGTGGTTTTACCTGTAGCTAATAAGTAGTTGTGTTTTTTTTTTTTTTTTTTTTTTTTTTTTTTTATTGCCTGCTTAATTTCATTATGACCCATTGGTTGCCATTTATTTAAAGAGTCTTGCGAAACTGGCAAGGCAATATAGGAAATTCTAAATCAATTATGTCTCTTACTAATTACTTTCCCAGTATCTCTTGCCCGAGCACTGTATGATTACGAAGGACAGAGTGAAGAAGAGCTTAGTTTTCTGGAAGGATCCATTATTCAAATCGTCCGTAAAGAAGAGGAAGGAATAGATGATGGCTTTTGGATGGGAGAATTCAATGGACGTGTTGGAGTGTTTCCATCGCTTATGGTGGAAGAGTTGTCGGGGGATAATTCAGAAACAAACCAGGTACAGATTTCTAATGTTCTGTCATTTTCAGCTGTTGCGGTTTTAAGTATGAATTGGGAACATCTATTCAACGGGCACACAGGTAACAATAGATCCGACTGTTCTTTGCTCATATAAAATAAGAGGTTTTGGCTGCAGTTTACTGTGTTGCAGCTTATGGTTTCTTAGATGTGATAGCTGCATTCATTTCCTTTTTTGGGTAAATGGTAAGGTACTGAAAACCTGTTGATATTGCCATAATTCTAGTGCCCTTTAACTTCCTATGCTGTTAATATGTATCTTCTGTGAGCTTCAAAATCTCCATTCCTCATGTAATGAAGATGAGACCAGGTATTTTTTAGCATAAATCGGAAAAGTTACCTAGGGTAACAGCACTCCTCCACAGACAGGGCAGCAAGTGAGCATTGTCACCATAAGAAAAAATGTGTTAAAGCAGTTTATAAACCAAAATGTAATGTATTGCCGTTTACCACTTATTAGATATGTGTCTTTCCTCATGCTTTGTCCCCTCTGTTTCACCTGATGATTGGCTAGTATAATACCTTGTATTAGTGTCTCCACTCTGGATGAAAGAGCACATTTGGACAGCAGCATTGTCAGTCTGGGGAGAGGAGAGTGTTAAATGTACTAACAGATATAAATATATTGAAGCCAAACTCTAGCTAATACTTTATAAGCAGTTACAGCAAACCTTTTTTTTTTTTTTTTTTTCTTTTTCTTTTGGGATAAAGGTTTTACATAAAAACTGATCATTGTAAGCACCCCTGCTACTGTTAAATGGTCTCACATCTCTAACTGATGCCTTCTGCTGCAGTGCTGGTTCTTTTGAAAAAGACTTGCTGCCCATATCACCAGATACAAATTGATAAAAGCCTAAAAGAAAATTAGTGCAGCCATCATATGTAAGAAATGGTAAACTGCAGTATGTTTGCTTTTGGATTTAATACTTTGACAGGATCAGGTGAACTATGGGCTGATGACAGGATCAGATGGGGAAAAAAAGTGAGTGAAGGCTTAAATTAAAAACTAATGCATTCACCACACCTCAGTACTCGCAAACAGAATATCTAACCCAAGAACAAACATTTACAAAGTCCCTGAAAACTGCTACAGGCAATTTGTTCAATCTTTCATTGTAATAAATTGGATTAATTGAGTGGGGAATGGGGTGCATGGTGTGGTTGTGGCCATATGTTTCTTTTTGTGCTAAATCCTTTAATGTATCACAATTTTATACAATTGTAGGATCTTCCTTCTCCTGCTCCACCTACCTGCCTTCCTCCAATGCTTTCTCCACTTTCCATCACTAGATCCTCGCTACAAGGAACAGCTGCTGCAGAACCAGGTATTTGTGCCCTTTTTCTACCAGAAATCTAAAGTGCTGTGGAAAATTATTTGCCCCTTCTCGATTTTATTAGGTTTTTTTTTTTGCATATTTGTCACACCAAAATGATTAGATCACCAAACCAATCGTAATATTACACAAAGATAACCCGAGTAAATACAAAATGCAGTTTTTAAATCATGATTTAATTAAAGGGGAAGTTCGGCTTTAAAGATTGGTCCCCCCCCACTCCCCATTAAGGATTGGCACCTTGGGGGAGCGGGTACCTGAAATTGACAGGTACCCGCTCCCACTTCCGCTGTGATCGCCTAGGTGATCGGAAGCGGAAGTTGTCGTCCTACCCTCCCTCCTCGTAGTCTTCTGGGACACATGACAGGTCCCAGAAGACGAGGCCATTCAGGAAGCGTAGCGCTACTTGCGCATGCACAGTGGGCACCCGGCTGTGAAGCTGCAAGCTGTCACAGCCAGGTGCCCACACTGAAGATGCCGGTGCCTGGAATACAGGACGGCCGGTGAAACGGGTTGCGGTTGCGGCAGGCGCACCGTGGGTTCGTTGGACAGGTCAGTGGCTGTTTTCGGTGTTGTTGGACAGGTCAGTGGCTGAAGCAACAGTTTTTTGTAGCTGCTGACTTATTTTTTATGGAGTGAGTGGAACTCCGCTTTTAAGTGAAAAAAGCTGTCCAAACCTGCTTGGCCCTGTATGAAAAAGTAATTGCGCCCCCTTTGCTAAATCATGAATGAACTGTGATTAAGCACATTTTTTTTGGAAAGATGAGTTAAATTTAATTTGCTACACCCAGTCCTGATTACTGCCAGACCTGTTGAATCAAGAAATCACCAAAATATAAGCTGTCTGACAAAGTGAAGCACGCTAAAAGATCTCAAAGCAACACATGCTGCAATCTGAAGAAATTCATGAACAGATGAGAAACAACGCAATTGACATGTATCAGTTTGGGAACGTTTAAAAAGGCATTTCTAAGGCTTTGGGAATCCAGCAAACCATGGTGAGAACCATTATCTGTAAATGGAGAAACTGGGATTAGTGGTCAACCTTCCCAGGAGTGGCCGGCCTACCAAAATTACTCCCAAGAGCACAATGATGAGTTTCAGGAGGTCATAAAAACCCAGTGCAACATCACTGCAGGCCTCACTTGCCTCAGGTCACTGTTAATTATTCAACAATTAGAGACTGGACAAAAATGGCATCCATGGAAGAGTTGCAAGGCAAAAGCCACTGCTGAACAAAAAAAACAAACTCCTCTCACATTTGACAAAAAACATTTGGATTATCTCCAAGACTTTTGGGCAAATATTCTGTGGACTGAGACAAAAGCTGAATCTTTTTTTGGAAGGTTTACTCCTGTTATCTGATGTAAAACTAGCACAACATTTTATAAAAAAAGAACATCATACCAACAGTCAAACATGTTGGTAGTGTGATGGTCTGTGGTTGCTTTGCAGGACCTGGACGACTTGCCATAATTGATTGAACCATAAATTCTGGGTGGGAGGCGGTTAAGCAATTCTGCAAAGAGTGGGCCAAAGTTCCTCCACAGTGATGTAAAAGACTATCTCTGTTATCACAAACACCTGATTGCAGTTGTTGCTGCCACAGATTGCACAACCAGTTAGTAGGTTTAGGGGGCAATCACATAAAGCCAGGCAGGTTTTGTTTTTTTTTTTTTTTTTTTTCCCTTTTAATAAATTGTGCGTATTTTTTTTTTTTTGTTTTGTGTTTATTGATGGGTTGGTGTGTGTGTGTGTGTTAGTGCCATTTGTCATTCATTTCATAGCAGGCATAGAGACAACACCATCCAGCATATATTCAATCTATAATATGCACTTGGGGTAACTTCCATGCACATGCAATAATATTGTTATAATCCAGACCTGTGCTTCCCATAATGAATAAAATAACAAATCAAGCTTCCCTCTGAAATATCAGTGAGTAAAGCTGGAAGGAGTTTTTGCAATTGGCTGACCAAACACTTTTGGTCTCATAAACATTAAAGTTCCAGTAATGGCAAGTAGGTCTTTTTTAACATAAAATAGTGCAGCGCTGAAAATAATGACAAAATGACAAAAAGGTAGTCTTTCACTAAAAGTCTCCGCTGTGGTGGACATAATAAACGTATCCAGTGTCTGATGTGGATTCAGATAATAGGTGATATCCGTGTGGCAAAATGGCTGGAAAAAACGCACTCACCCCAGAAGTAAGACACATAAACGCAGTGTGTATATAAAACTCAAGGCAATTCTTCAAAATCCAGAGGGAAGTAAAGCTGATCCGGTTACAGGAATGGTGAATCCCTCCTCCGCAGATGCCAGCAACCGATCTTCCTTAACACGATTAGATGGTAGAACTTTTCCAAGACCCAAGGTTCTGCAAGCTAAAAAAGCTCCTCAAGGGAGTTTAAGGGAAGGACACCCATAGTGAAGTAGGGTAATAAAAGGCAGCTTTATTCACAATAAATGATATCCAATTCAAAGCAGGCAGGTATCATACAGATGTGTCAGCAAGAACAACTAACCCTGGGATACTTTGAATAGTGGCCGCCGGGCCTCCACGTGGCACCGGCGGCGTAGCGTCTCGACGGCCAGGGATCCTCCTTACGCGTTTACGTGCGCGCATGCATCAGAGGGTATGGAACATTTTCAGAGGGGCGGTAGGAATGGATTTATTAACGTGTGGACTGCGATGGGCGCATTATATAAGGCATGAATGACGCAATGCGGCAGTAGCGTGTTTACGCTCAATGCGCAAAAACCCAAGGCGCATGCGCGTGGCTCCGTCTTCCATTTGATATTGAAGGAGCTCGGAGACTGCAGGGTGGAAGGCGAAATGCCCTATATGTTGACAGATAAAGTTGTCAAACAGAAGTCAAGTCCAACAACGGTGTAAAATACACCTAATTAAAAACAATCCGATCCGGACTATGTAAAATATGCAAAGAGGCGCGATAGCGCCAGCAATATGTTGAACTATTACCCGAATTATTAGATATATACTCTAAGGTAAATGTATACATGCGTCATATATACTTAAAATTAATCAACATTCAGTAAAGACATCATATACATCAAAAATAGAAAGGAAGAAGTTCCTAAAACAATAAAAATAAAATAACAATGAGAAGGCTGCAGAACTAAATCTGGCACCCAACCTGAGTAAAAAAATGCAAATCATTAAGAAATCATGAAAAGTCTAAGATGGAAACGCATGTGAAACGGTCAAGCCATGCGTCCCATAACCTGCTTCTAAAAACCTGGAAAAAAATGCGGGTGAAAATTTACATCAATCCATATGCCGCAATGGTTGATGTTGTAGATTTCACCCCCGTTGTTCCAGTGTATTAAGACGCTTATGGATACTGGACGCCATGGCTTGACCGTATTTCACATGCGTTTCCGATCTTCGCACTGTTTCTGATTTCATTTATACTGATTTGCATTTACTATACTCAGGTCTGGGCAGATTTAGTTCTCGCAGCCTCCTCTCATAGTTATTTAAAATGTAAGAATTTTTAAGGAACTTCTTCCTTATATTTTGATGGTATAAGATGTCTTTACTGAATGTTTGGATTAAGTTTAAGTTTAATCATGAAACGCCATGCTCACTACAATTAGCTAGATATTATCTCAGCTTGGGAATAGTTCTCAACATATAGGCGCTATCGCGACCGTCTTTGCATATTGTTACATCGCTCCTATCGGGATTTGTTTTAAATTAGGTGTATTTTACCACCGTAGTTGGACTTTGACTTTTCTGTTTGACCATCTTATATGTTCCCAACGCAAGTAGGGCATTTCGCCCCCTTCCACACTCTGCGTGTTACCCGCGCTCCATTTACAAAAAAAAATTGGAAGACGGCAGCCCAATAGCGCGACATGCGCCTTGGGTTTTGCGCATTGCGTACACGCTAGGCTGCGCAATGCGTCATTATGCCCTTATATATTTGCGCCCATTCGCGTCCACCACGTCATGGTTCCATACCTGCTTGAGATGTCGCTCGTGCGCAGGTACACGCTCGTAAGGAGGAGCCTCTGGACGTCGAGATACGCTACGCCGCCCGGTAGCGCCACGTGTGTGAGGCCCTGGCGGTCCACTATTCAAAGGTATCAGGGTTAGTTGTCTGCTGACACATCTGTATGATACCTGCCTGCCTTTGAATTGGATATTCTTTTATTGTGAATGAAAGCTTGCGCTTTTATTAATCCTACTTACCTTTTTGGGGGTCCCTTTCCCCAAAAAATCCCTTGAGGGCTTTTTCTTTCAGAAACCTTTTGGGCTTGGGGAAATTTTACATTTAAAACGTGTTAAGGAAGATTTGGTTGCCCCGATCTGCGGGAAAGGGGGGATTCACCAAATTTCCCGTTTAAACCCGGGTCAGCTTTACTTCCTCTGGGGTTTTGGGGATCCCTTTAGTTTTAGTTTTAAACCCCTGGGTTTATTTTGTTTACCCTTTTGGGTTTAAATGCGTTTTCCCAAAACCATTTTTCCCCACGGTAAGAATTTTTGAAACCCAACATTTAGGGCACTGGATACGTTTTTATGTATAAAACTTTGGTGGACTACCCCTTTTTTTTTCCCCTTTTTTAATTTTTTCAGGCCCCTGCTACTTAAATTTTTATTTTTATTGCCCTTTTAATGTTTTTGGTTGCTTAGAGTGTCCCAGCCGCTTTTTAGGTTCGGCCCCACTTTTCTGTTTTTTTTTTTTTCAGGGTCTTTTTTAATAGTCATATGGGTTTTATCAGGTAAATTTACCTCTATGGATGCCGCATGTACCGCTTGACAATCACCCCCTCAAGTCATAAATAACATTAAATATACTTGGATGGTCCATACAGCCTGATTGTAGCTTACCTATAATTAAGGATAAAACGTAACCCAATGGTCCTATGGTGAGGCGCAAATCTTAATAGATTATTCAAAAGTGGAGTAATCATGCTCTCTATGCATAACAATGAACATATAATTCAGAGTCATTATCTGCTCTCACAGAAGTCAGTACACCTACCTTCACCTGTTTTTGGTGTATAATCTATTTCTATTTATAGTCTCTCCATCTATGGGACAACATTTACGACAAATGGTCGCTGTGTACCAATGCCTAAAGTCGGTGCAGGGTGTACAGCTGTGTATGGAGGCCTCCTCACACTGTAACTGTGTGCTGGACTGGGTGGCGTCTTTGATGAAATTAGTATCAAGCCACCGCCTTTAGGGGAGGGGGGGTGTAAACCGGAACCTGGCCAAACTTGTATGTGGACAGTTAGACACCCTAAGTGATTTAATTTCTGTTATTATTGAGTGCCCAGTTAGACATATCTGACTCCCCAGTTGTTAGATTCATTTCGGTAAATAGTTTGAGGGAGGATGAAGCGATGTGTAATGGGGTTTTAGTCTGGGTTAATCGTGAGATAATGGTATGTTGTGTGGTATCTGTGTGTGATCGGTTACTGGGTTGACGATAGTTCATGGTACTGGCACCTAGTGGCGAATGATAGGACTGAGTATACTGAAAGAAAAAGACCTGTGTTCGGGTGAATATAAGATAGCGCTATGCTTAGAAGGATAGATTGCCAAGACCCTTTGAGGGGGTGAGACTCAGCAACATGTCTGGCCAAGGACCAGTAACAGCGGTTTGGCTTATACAGGGGCAGGTTGGGAGGGGAAGAAGGAGTGAGCGAGTCGCCATGTGTCAAGGAATGGGACTGGCGAGCGAGGGTCTGTGCATCTAGCGTGCGTATCCGGTGGGGTTGTCTTATGTGTGATAACAAAGTTTGAGTGCTGCAGCATGGTGTCGTAGCACGGGGTTGATTTTTAGGGGATGGGGGGGGGATGGGGGATGGGTGATTGTCGATAGACGCCTCTGACCACACGTCCGCATCACTGCATTTGATTATATCTTAGTAGTCTTGCATGGCTCATTGACCAGAAGGAATGCCTAAGGATGATCGTGCCAGAAAGCCCCGCAAACAGTTTGCGGAAGACAAGCAGCACGAAAGGACATTAATTGGATTACTGGAACCATCGGGATGATCCTGTGGTCTGATGAGACCAAGACTAAACTTATTTTGGTTCAGGCATGGTGTCCAAGACGTATTGTCTGGCGGCAAACCAGGGTGAGGGAATCGATTAGCAAGTAGGACAAGTTGTCTTTGCCTAGACGTCAAGCAAATGGGATGGTATGTGAGGTAATCCATCTTGGTACATGGGGCTGCATGAGTGCTGCCGGCACTAGGGAGCTGCAGTTCTCCATTGAGCCCGGAACCATAAATGCATCTCACAACTGTACTGAGAGATCATACCGAAGCAGAGCATGATCCCCTCCCTTCGGAAGACTGGGCCTGCAATGACAGTATCCGTTCCAACATAAAACCCCATGAAACAAGCTCGCTCACAAGAAAACCACTGCCTTGCTAAGATAGCTCGAGGGTAATGGACTGGCCAAGCATATCTCCAGTAACCTAAAACCTTGATGGATGCCCACTAGACCAGGTTGCTCGAGTAAAACGGAAGGTGGAGGAGCGCAAGTCTCGATACATGCCACCAGCTCCCATGATGCTCATTCAAGGGGATATGGAAGAGAACTCCACAGTGGCGAGACCTGCTCTCGAAGCTCCTGGTTCCCCGTAAAGTCCATGCCCAAGATCTGGTTAAGGCAAGTGCGGAAATCATAATGCGTGACCAAACTTAAATATTTTGACCATTTTGACATTTTCCACTTAGGAGTGTACCCGACACTTTTGTTGCCATCCGTCGTTTAGACAGAATAAAGGCTTAGTGTGTTATTTGAGGGGACAGAACGGAATTTTTAGTCACATTATAACAAGCTGTACAAAGTGTCATTTCTTCAGTGTTGTCACATGAAAAAGATAGGTTAAAAAATGGGAGCATCTTTACAAAAATGTACTTCCGAGCGATACGTGTACACAATAAAAAAACTTCTGTGGCGAGATATCTGTAAATGATACTTGAGAATGTCCGTTCCACTAACATGAAATCCTAATTTTAAAAAAACTGTATTTTCTTTTTGCGTATTTCACACTTAAATCGGGTTCAGAAGCATATGGCTGGAAGCAAACAAATGCTGTCTAATCAAAATGGAGGAGAAGGAACGGAGGCAAATACTTTTTTCACAGCATATGTGTACATACATGTTTTCATGCTATCCACACTCCCATTTATCTACAAATCTGCAATTTTTGGCTTATGGCACTAAACCCATACAACACCTCTTGCTTTCAAGGAAACGGGCACACGGTTTATATAGTCCGATCAGAAGCAGGGAAGTCCTCTGTTTTGTCACCCATGGTCAATCATAAGGCAGCTATTTCTCGTCTTGTCATTAGTAAAGCTGAAGGGAGAGAGCAGCTGCACTTGGAGAGTATTCTTAGAATTGTATACCAAGAAATGATTTTTATTAAGTTGGGCTTCTTGATTTTTATTGTAAAGTTTGTTATTTTGGTTTTGTATGATTTGTGTTTTCTTACATAAGCTCAAAAAGGCGGCATTGCTCTTCTCACCCAAAGGTAAATCTAAAAAGCTGCTGGTTTAATACGGACATTTGTATGGTGGGTTAAAACTATAGTGTTCCATGGGTCACATACTTGGTCCCCTGGCTAGTCATTACAGTGTCCTGGAGAAGATGACACAGCACCCAACTTATGGCTCTGGGGTCTGATAGACTTGAAATGTTGGATGAGGGACAGCTGTAGAATTTTCAAGAGAGAGCAAGGATTTAACATGGAACCTGCCAAAAGGTAAGATATTCATCATCATCTTTTGCAGGCTGATTTCAGTTTGTTTTAGGTGAGTTTGGTGAATGGATTACTTTATAGGGAAGCCTAAGCTATCCTACGTCCGTGCTAAACAGGATGGATGTGCCTTATTTCTTTCTAAGATGTTTGCCAAGAATTCCATCAATAATACCCTTGAGTGTTGCCTGTCATTGGTAAAAGTACTTGCCCCCTTTCCTTGTACCAGTGATCTGCACAGTTATCCAGTCTTGGTGAAAAAGGATTTCCATTACCTATGGATGAGCTGTACTCTGTTCAGCACTTTTGAGGCCACCATGAGTAATGAAATCCATCCACCTCTGGATGATAAGCCAGTAAAGGACAACTGTACATAAGACTGGTACAATAAATGCGTATCTAAATTCGGATAGAGTAGTACGAGATGATTGGTTTTATGCCTGTCAATATAAATAGTGTGTGTACTGTAAATAACCTGCAACAAAATACAGTTGCCAATTAACATTTACTAACAAGAGACTTAACCCAATTTACTAATCCTTCCTTTAAGAAGCTGCAATAGTCCACCCTTAATGCCCCCCCACCCCGGGTTATGTTAAGTTCAGTCCCCCTACAGCCCCAGCATGTTGCCTTTTTTTAGGAAAAAGCTGAAAGTCTTCAATGTCATTTAAATACAATGTTGGAAAATGACACAGGGCTAGTCATGTAGCAGCAGCCCTGCAGTTTTCTTTTCAGTAGACAATCTTGAGGTTGGAAATCTTTCAAGTGTAAGGTAGTTTGAGGCATGGTAATGACACAGCATGTATCTGCAGGAGTCACACACCCCCATACTACTGTTTGGCAATCAATATCTGCTGTATTTATTTTCCAGACTACCAGACAGAACCATGTTTTTCAGGGAGTGCGCAGAGCTATCCCCCGGATTATTTCAGCAACACGCCATGAGACCAGTACAGTGTTTTGTAATGAACTCTCCAAAACCTGCATATTGACGCCATGCCCCCCAGGAAAAGTTTGTGAGGTTTTTTATTACAGCATTTCTGTGTCCCCACGTCCCCACTGAGGGAGATTTCACCCACTCTGTTTGACCATTGTCATCATGACAAAAAATTATACAATTTTCAACCCGAAGAGGAATGAAGAGGGGAAATCATCCAATGGGTAACGCCTGTTCTCTGGACTGCTGTTTAAGAAGGATCTCTCCTAATTTTGGAGAGAAAATCAATCTCGTTTCCCTGTTTTTTCCCAAATAGGGCAAAAAGAAAAAAAAAAAAAAAATCAGAAGGTAAAAAATCCCAATAAAGCATAATATCCAAATTGCTCCAGCAGGGGAAAAAAATTGTTCGTGATCCCACAAGAAACAATTGAATATTCCCCTTGGATTAAACATCACCTATATAAATTTTAGTATCCAGTTATATTGTGTACATTTAGGACAGAATCTAGGCCTTTTTTTTTAAAACATCTGCTTGAACTGGCCAGGACCAGCTTTTGAGAGGAGTCTTTCACATTTTCACAGCTCTTTACTAGCGAAGAAGCCTTTCTCTACATCCTGGAGGAAGAGATATTTAACCTCCAAATAGAGTGCCTCCTTGTCCTCTGTGGATGACCTTAAAGTGAACCAACTCTACACACAAATGCATGCATCCAATCACTTTCCAAAGCCTTCCCCCTCAATATCTCTAAAATACGCCAACCACTTTCTAAACCAATGATACCACGCGCAAGCTCCTAGTAGTCAGTCCCTGGTCATCTCTCGCCTTCACTACTGCAAATCCTTCCCCATTGGCTTACCTTTACATAGGCTATCCCCTCTTCATCAGTCCCATCATGAAAACGCTGCTACCAGACTCCTCCCACCTTACCCAAAAAAGCGTTCAGTGTCTGCTACCCCATGTTTGCCAGTTCTCTCCCCTGGCTTCTTCTGCTCACCCAATTAATTCAGTTGAAAATACTAACAACTTACAAAGCCATCCACATCATTGCCCCCAGCTACATCACTAACCTAGTCTCAAAATACCAACTTAATTCGTTCTCTTTAATCCTCCCAAGTCCTCCTGCTCTCTAGCTCCCTTGTCACTTCCCCCCATGCTCTCCTCCTGGACTTCTCTTGAGCCTTCCCTTCCCCCCCCCACCCCCCCCCATCCACTGAAACCTCCTAACCCCCATCTGTTCCAACTATCTGACCTACTGTCTACTTTTTTAGACGATCCCTTTGAAAACCCCCCCCCCCCTCCTTCAGAGAGGCCTACCCTGGCCCCCCGCCAAACTGTATTTCTCCAATTCTCCATCAGCTCATACCCCAATCAATATGACCTTTTTTTTGTATCTGTTTGACACACTCCCTTTTTAGATTGTAAACAGGACCCTCTGACTCATACTGAATTAAATTGTATTCTAAACGAACTTGGAGCTAAGACCCCTCTCTGATCTCATACTGTATTTTAAATTGTTTTATTCTAATTGTACTGTCCTGTCCCTTATGTTGCAGAGTGCTGTGTAAATTGTTGACCCTTATATAGAATCCTTTATAATGAAGGCTCTACTAGATTAAAGTTGGGGACACACATTGCATAAACGAAGCAAGTCTGGCTGCCACATATATTTGCATTTAAAAAACACAGGTTTGTGTTTAAATAACCCACAAAATTTTACAATTTGCAAATGGGGTTCGTTTTTTTTTTTTTTTTTTTCTGGTAAAGTGTGCTGGTAATTTTCTAGCTCTAAAATCTCGAACTGGACATTAGAGATCCATTCTTGCTACAAAAGGCCTCATCACATATGGTTATGGCCCCTGATAAAACTGGCTCTTTTTTGGATTGGAAGCTGCAAACGCTTATATACAGTGAAGGATATAAGTATTTGATCCCTGATGATTTTTGAATGTTTTTGCCCACTCACAAAGAAAATCATGATCAGTCTAAAAATCGAATGGTAGGTGTATTGTAAGACTGAGAGACAGACATGGCATGTCTTTTGAATGTTTTGTTGCTATTCAGAACTACATGTGAAGATCTTGTCAATGATCTCCAGGCAGCTGGGACCCACAGTCACCAAGAAAACAATTGGTAACACACTACGCCGACAAGGATTGAAATCCTGCAGTGCTCGCAAGGTCCCTCTGCTCAAAGCACATGTCCAGGCCCATCTGAAGTTTACCACTGAACATCTGAATGATGCAGAGGAGGACTGGTTTGAAAGTGTTGTGGTCAGATGAGACCAAAATCGAGCTCTTTGGCATCAACTCTCTGTGTTTGAAGGCGGAGGAATGCTGCCTATGACCCCAAGAACACCATCCCAACTGCCAAACATGGTGGTGGAAGCATTCTGCTTTGGGGGTGTTATTCTGCTAAGGGGACAGGACACAAATGCACCGCATCAAAGGGATGATGGACGGGGAAAATGTACAGTCAAATCTTGGGTGAGAACCTTCTTCCCTCAGCCAGGGCATTGAAAATGGGTCGTGGATGGGTGTTCCAGCATGACAATGGCCCAAAACACATGGCCAAGGCAACAAAGGAGTGCTCTCAAGAAGAAGCACATTAGGATCCTGGAGTGGCCTAGCCAGTCTCCAGACCTTAATTTGATTGTAAATCTGTGGAGGAAGCTGAAAGTTCGAGTTGTCAAACGTCAGTCCCCACCAAACCTTAAAGACTTGGAGAGGATCTGCCAAGAGGAGTGGGCCAAAATCCCTCCTGAGATGTGTTGCAAAACCTGGTGGCCAACTACAGGAACGTCTGACCTCAGTACTTGGTGGCAAATTCCTTGTTGGCAATCACAAAGTTGTGTTTTGTGATGGGGATCAAATACTTATATCCCTCATGAACATGCAAATCAGTGCATAATGTGTTAGACATGCATTTCTTTTGAATGTTTTGTTGCTATTCTGTCTCTGTGGTACAATACACCTACCATTTGATTTTTAGACTGCCCACTCACAAAGAAATGTATGTTCAAACATTCAAAATCAGCAGGGGATCAAATACTTATTTCCTTCCTTGTACATACTGTATATAAATACAGATTTTACATACAGGTGAGGTTTAAACAATGAACACTTAAATGTTTCATTGTTTAAATCTTGAGACAGACTATTACCAGTCCCCTTAAGGAACTTACTGCTTTTTTTTTTTTTTAACCAACTTAACACCAGAAGATTCGTACCAAAAACAGACTGGATGATGGTAGGGGGAGGGGGGGGGCTTTTGATTTAGGAGGGGTTCAGCAGGGGGAGCTTTTGATTCAGGAGGGGTTCAGCAGACACCCATATAAAGCCCCTGTTTACAGTGTGGATACAGGGTCTATGGGTTCAGACTCCGGAATAATAGTTTAGCATAGCTGCCTGTGTGAACTATAGTCAGGCAATAGCTTTCATTTGTAGCCCTAATGAAAGGGCCCTTTTGTACCCCTGAAATGTTTGTTGTGACGTTCAGTAAAGCTATTTCTGGGCTTATGAAACTTTGTAATGCTTTAGGCTTCTGTTTAAAAATAAATGTGTTTATTAACAGGTTGACTTTAGTGCATCAGTTGTGATATCCATTATGCATAGGGTCTCAGTTTTTTTTTTTTTTTTTTTTTTCACTTCCACTTGTAGATGCGAGCAGCACCTCCACCTCCAACCAAGTCCCCAGACACCCTACCTGCTGACCACTGACTGTGATTATGTGGCTTGTGCCTTGCATGTCAAGAATATCAACAAGCCTACTACGATCTATGCAAATTGGATTGTGGCAAGAATTCTATGAAACCAATGTCAGCCTTTCAGTTTACCTGTTCCTGGGACTTTGTGAAACTGGAAGACTTTACCAAAGAGTGAAATTTTCCTCTGAATACAGTATTTCACAAGACTTGCCGAGAAGGTCATATTTAATTGACTCCCTATGTGAAACGTCTTCTCTTTTTTTTTTTTTATACCCCATCTTTGCACTTTTATTAGATTTCAAAAGGAAATGTTCTCATGCTTTAAAATAATTTATGCTTATTGTATTTTAAAGGCTTTAGAAGAAAATAAAAAAATATTTATCATAATTAAAGTGCTTGAATATGGCAGTAATTCTATCTGACCTGTCACCAAGTTTAATTTTGTCTCTGCAGCTTGAGTGTTCTTTTCTTATTATTGTACTTTTTGAAAATGTGAATCTTCTTTTTTTTTTTTTCTGTATTTTATATGGAGAAGTAGTATTCTAGGGATTATGAAGAAAGAAGAAATTCAATACATATTCATAGGATTAAACAAAAGATGACTAAGCTGCTAGAAGGCGGTGGAACAAATATGTGCAGAGTTTGGTGATGGGTTCCTGTGCTGAGAACCTGGGACCACCGTGTCAACTGATATCAGACTGGATATTTCTAGATCCAGGATACAGAAAATACATCAAAGGATCATGTATATCTAAAGAGATCCCACATACAGTTACTATGTGATGCAAGGGCCTCAAAGGAAACTAAAGAACTTTCTTTACCTTTCCTGACTAAGCCAAATCCTCTAATTCATTCCTCTCCAAGGCCCTGCAGCTCAGTGGGAGAGTCAGCATCAGACTGTGCTGAATCTCAAGCTACAGGCTTGAGAATAAGCAGCAACAATGCTAATAGTGCAAGCAGGCATAGCCCACATGAGTGACAACTGTGTTCTAAATGTAAGAGCCATGGAGCATTGTTGCCACCCAGACACAGGAAGCTGCATTAGCTGGACTTCACTGGCAGAATCAGTTGGTAATTTCCATTTCCAAGGGAGCGAAGACATTGTTTACACTTGCGGTTGGTGGGGAAGGGGGGTGTAAAACACCTGGCTGAGCCATGTTTTTACCACACCCATCCACTCTCCCTTAAGCTGCAAAGACTACGAACTGGGGGTGTAGGCATACTGCGGTGTGGCAAACATTCTCTCCTCAGTTTCATCGACAGGCAGTACCACCCAGCAGAACACCTTTTCATGGGTGTATAGATCTACTGTATGTGCCAGTGGGGAAAAAAGATTACAAAAAACCTCAGAAGGAAGGGGTGAGAGCTTCATCAGTTCAATAGATACCAGCCAACATTTGGGCCATGTCTATACCCGCTTGTCTGACGGAAACCAAGCAGACCGGATGCTGGTTTTCCAACATGCCTATCAGTGCTGGCAGCCAATGGCTGCGAGCGCTGACCAGTGTGTTCTGGGGGGAGAGAAGAGTCCTGTCACTACACAGCAGCTCAGCAGGGAGATGGCTGTATGAACATCAGGTCAGTATGCATAGCGAGCTCCACTTGAGATCTTAGTATTTTTCCCATTCAACCCAGTGCGCTGAACGAAGAAAAAGAAATTAAGTGTGTACCAGCAACAGGCCTTATTATTTTATTATTATACAGGATTTATATAGCGCCGCCAACAGTTTGCTCAGCTCTTTACAATATAACGGGAGACAATACAGCAACAATACAGTTCAATACAAGAGGGAAAGGAGGGCCCTGCTCCTCGGAGCTTACAATCTAGGAGGGAGGGTTTAAAACTGGTGACGAGGAGGTGACACAGTGCCTTCTCACAGCCTGTCAGATGCAGTCTAAGGAGAGATCTGCATTGGATCTCCTCTCAGAGGGCAGAACAAGTGTAAACGAGCCCTAAGAGGGGAAAAAAAAGTGCAAATGCACTTAACGAAATTCTGCTGCACCTTTTTAATAGGCCATAGTTCTAGTTTACATTTTTTTGTTATCCTAGGTGCCCCATTTATGAAAAGAGATTCAATTAAAACTTTGGCATTTTTTTTTTTTTCTTCAGACTTCATACATGCAACAGAGCAGAAAATGTTGTTTAAAGACAAATGGATATCATAAATTGCAATTCACAGAATAGGTTGCGTGTTCCTGAATTGATCGTGTTGGAGGAGGCATTTTTAGATATCGAAGAGTGATCGGTGGATTCAGCTGAATGCAAATGAGTATTGAGCGCTTGTGTTGAATGGCATGCCACCCAAAGGCAGGCTGCTTTACTGTTGGGGGGGATAAAGTGATGTTGTAAAAGAAGCAATACTGATCAACCTAAAACTGCAGTTCAAATGTGTGCATTGTTTGCGGCTGCACCAGCACATTGCTTACTACTGTCAAGCAGCATGTTTACTCGCATGTTGCATACGCCAGATGCTTTTGTGGGTCAGTAATACTATTTAAAGTGGTTCTAAAGGCAGGACATTTTTTGCATTGAGGTAAAAATGCCTTACTACTTACTCCCTCCCCCACCCCCTCCCTAGACATTTACCTGACTCTTCTCTCAATCTAGCTCTGTGCCTTGTTGCAGCATCGCTGTGCTCTCTTCTCACTGGACAAAGGCAGAAGTTGTAACCATTGGCTTCTGTTGTCAGTCAAATCCTTTGTGGAGGGAGCATGGGTGGGGCTAAGCCACAATGAGTGTGTCTATGGATGCACACAGCCTGGCTCGGGAGCACGCCTGTACAAGTGCTTCCACAGCACACAGCTTGGGGGCGCACACAGAAGAGGAGTGGACAGCGCCAGTGCATGATTCCAGAAGAGGAGTTGGGGACCACTCTGCAATACCTTTTGTACAGAGCAGGTGAGTATAACATGTTTTAAGAAAAGGAGCCTTTACAACAGCTTTAATTGCTCTTCCCAAAACTAGCTTTTCACTAAAATCTCAGCTATGCTATCTCAAAGGCTGTATTCAATCATGTTAAATCTGCTGTTTTCATTAAAAAATCCATGGTAATCATATCATCGTGCCTTTTTTTTTTCTATATTTTTTTTTACCCAACATACTTTCTGTTATAGGGTGACAACTGTCTCGCAAGTTGTGTGCCTACATTGTCTTTCTGTCACGTGCCTCTGAAGACTGCAAGTGGGCACACCCACACAGCACAGTCATGGAAGCGTGTGTGGCGCAATGATTTGCAGCTGCTGTTGGAGTGAGATAACATAGCCTGGAAGTAGATAAAACTGCTTTCTTTTTGAGCTGAGATGCAAATTGGGTTTAATAAAAAGCTTAAAACAGTTTCTTTAGATTAAAAAATGCTCTTGGCAACTGAATCCTATCTATTTAGGATCTAGATCGATTTTAAAGGGGTTGTTAACCCTTGCATCTACCCAGTAAAGTGACTGGCCTCAGGTGATACATAGAGATGACACAAAAATCCTCCTACATAAGTTGTACCTGTTTATCTACACTTTGAATACCTGTAGATGAGAAAGCTGCAGATAAACAGGCTCCTGGCTGGACCTACTGATGCCCTGTTAAGGTTCGTGTTTTTTTTTTTTTTGTGTTTTTTTTCGGGGGGGGGGGGGGGGGGGGGTTGTATTTCTGTCCTTTTTTTGTGTTTTTTTTTTTTTTTTTTTGTTGGTGGTGGTGTTGTAGGTAGATTTATTCCCCTATTTTGTTTCCATATAGTGCCCCTATGGGATCCCCGTGGCTGCCAGGATCTCCTTTTTCACCTGCCTACTGGACTGGATTGCTCCGTGCACATACCATATGGTTCTAGCTTCTTTCACACAGGCCGCTTGTGATCATATGACTTTGGTATGATGCAAACAATGCAGTATGTCATTTTTAGTCCCCTTGTACATGGGCGTCATAATTTACTGATGTTCATGAACTTGTGACGCTGGTGAGAAATGGGACAAAAACTTTAACAAGGTGTGTAAGCAAAGAGATGAGTAAAATTCTTGCTCATTGCCAGTATTGTAATCTCATTTGTACTTATAATGCCTGTGTGCAATGGGGCCAAAATGAGTAAACACGCAAGTAAACTACTGGTGAACAAATGAGAAATTTTCTACATTTGTTTTACTACTCTATGCTCAATGCTGTATTACTGATCTTGACTCAGCTGTGTGCAGGGCCCCATAGACGACAATGCATCTCACGTAAGATGATTCCCATGGGCAACGGCCTTTATATTGTCTTCAGGCAAGTGCAAAGTTTTGATATCACTTTGCTTATTGTGTTTGTTTTACTAAAAGGTCCAAGAAATAGCACCCGAGGAACAGAAAATATTGAAACGCATCAGACTTCAGGCTCATTTTGATTTGGGCTAACCGCTTCAAATTTACCCCTGGGTTGGGGCAGCCGCAACTCATGATGGTTATGCACACCATTGTTATGGTTTTAGAGCTGTAATATGGATCAAATTAGATAGCCTGATGGACATGTTTTTAGCACTTTATGAAAAAATAATATATATTTTTTATGTATATTTGTGTGGCTCATTTGGTATTCCAATAATCCCCTGCAGCCAATTGAGGACTCCTTTTTTGCATGCAAATCTTTGCTTGGGGCTGAGTACAGAAGCACATTTGTGTTTAGGGTCTGAGCATTCAGAAAGTAGGGGGTGGGGAGCTTAACTTTCACTATAAAGAGCTCTGGGAGCTGATTGGAGGGAAAAGGACATACCCCCTCCCCCATGCACACAGGAACAGAACTCAATCACAGGCTGTATGTTACAGCTCTCTCCCCATCACTTTTTGTAATTGGTGTCAAGAAAACTTGTCAGAAGTGACTCCTGCAGAGAAAGGCGGCAGTAGACTGAAATGACTTGGTGCCCTGGAAGACAAGTACACACGATATACAGTGGGGCAAAAAAGTATTTAGTCAGCCACCAATTGTGCAAGTTATCCCACTTAAAAAGATGAGAGAGGCCTGTAATTGGCATCATAGGTAGACCTCAACTATGAGAG